CGACGCTGATGGCTTCTTTTCACGCCTCGCAGAAGATCCAGCCGTGCTCCTTCAACTCGAAGGTCCCCTCCCTCCTCGCGACGGGCGCTGCCGACTCCACCTGTCGCATCTGGGACGTCCCCTCGCCACCCTCCTCTTCCGCAGCCCAGACGATCGTCTCCGACCCCATCGTCTGCAAGCACGCCTCCGCACAGCGACGATGCGACATCACCTGCGTCGCCTGGAATCCGTCCGGCTCGCTTCTCGCGACCGCTTCTGAAGACGGAGTCGGCCGGATTTGGACGCCGTCCGGCGACCTCTACCTCGTCTTGTCGATGCACCAGCGCTCGATCTGCTCGCTCAAGTGGAATCCGTCCGGCACCGGTCTCTTGACGAGCTCGCTCGATCAGACCGTCTGCCTGTGGGACCCGAGCAACGGAAAGGTCCGGCAGCAGTACTCGACGCACTCGGACGCTGTGCTTGACGTCGACTGGAACGACGACACGACGTGGGTGAGCGCGAGCATGGACAAGCAGGTTCACCGTGAGTGTGCTTTACTCGCTCGCACGAGCGCCGTTCGCTGACAGGTTGTTCCGCAGTGATGTCGACGACTCGCCCTACTCCTCTTCACCGCTTCAAAGGCCACCGCGACGAAGTCAACGGCGTCAAGTTCTCTCCTTGCGGCACGCTCATCGCCTCCTGCTCGGACGATACGACCATCCGCGTTTGGTCACTTCGCAACATTCCAGCCGTTGCACGTGACATCGCTGCAAGGAAGGTCAAGCAAGGAGACGAGGAGCGGATGATCGACATGGACGAAGAGGATGGGGGAGGAGGAGGCTGCTTCGTGCTCGAAGGGCACGAGAGCGACGTGCATCAAATCGCTTGGCATCCCGAGGCCGGCAAGGAGGGCAATGACGGGCCACGCCTTCTCGCATCGTGCGTCAATCATCACTCGCCTCAGAAACGCTCGACTGACTCGCTTGGCATCCAGCTGCTCCTTCGACCAAACTGCTCGACTCTGGGACGCCGATACCGGCACCTGTCTCTACACCTTCGCACGCGCCACCGACTTTGTCTACTCGGTCGCTTTCGAGCCGACCAAGGGTCGGTACCTCGCGACCGGCAGCAACGACAACAAGCTCGACGTCTGGCGGGTCAAGGTGCGCACTCGTTCGCCGCATCTTCGCTCCCTTTCGCTGACGCTCGTTGCTCGCCAGGACCGCGCTCTCGTTTCAGAGTACACGCACCCTAGCTCGATCTACGAGATTGCATGGCACCCTCACGGACAGCAGATTGCGGTCTGCGGCGGAACGTTGGAGGTCGCGGTTGTCAGCGTCGAGGAGGGACAAGTGAGCAAGTAGGTGCCCGCTTGAACGCGAACTTCAGTTGCTTGCGTCTCATCGAGTGCGTCCGGGAAGCGAGGAACGAGAGCGATGCAGCTCTTTACAGTCTAGCGAGGATAAAGAGTCTCTACGGGACAGTCGAAACCTCCCAGTCCGTCACGAGGAACTCGTCGAGCGAAGTCAGGCGCTGTTGGGACTCGCCGAGTCAGTGTTGCTTGAAAAGAGCATCGGCGTGCAACGCACATCAAGGTCCGCCTTCTCGAGCTTGAAGTCGAAGACGTTCGCGTTGTCGATAATGCGCTCCTTGTGCGTTGATTTCGGGATGACGATGAAGCCCTGTGAGAGCGCGGACTCAGAAGGGCGGAAAAACACAGACGAGACGGAACTCACCCGATCCAGGCCGTAGCGGATCAGGACCTGCGCAGGCGATTTCTTGTACTTCTCCGCGATCTCAACGACGACCGGATGCTTGAAGCGCAATCCTCGTACGAGCGGCGCCCATGCCTCGAGGACGATGCCCTTCGACTCGCAATACGCGACAAGTTCGTTCCGTGTCATGAAGGGGTGGAGGTCCTGTCTCCTTGCGACGTCAGCGAGATGAGGTGCCTTAAAGAAGTTAAAGAAGTAAGACTGCGCACAATCTGGTTGACGGCAGGCACGTATTTGGGCTTGCCTGCGAGCAAGTCCTCGAGGTGCTTGACGCCAAAGTTGCTGACGCCAATCGACTTGACCTTCCCCTTGTCCTTGACCCTGCAGCACCCTTCCCACATCGCTGCCCGCACTTCTGGGCCGCCGTTCGGGTCGTGGATGAGGTAGAGGTCGGGCGAGATGCCAGCCTTCTGCGTCGAGACGTCCACGCAGTGTTCGACCCAGGCCGGGTCAGTCTTGTTGTGCATGAGCTTGGTGGTGAAAAAGATCTGCAGCGGCACCATCAGGTCAATGTCGTGCGCTGAGTGCATCAAGGGAGACTCGCACCTCGCTGCGCGGCGTGCCAGTGCGCTCCACAAAGTCGCGGATGGCTTTCCCGCAGGATTCCTCGTTCTCGTACCATTCCGCTCCTGTTTTCGGCTGGCAGCAACATTAGCGAATCTCAATGGACTGTAAGAGGGACTCGAACGGACCGTCGATGTGCTTCGGCGGAGTGACGAGGTGTAGTGGGGGAGCGAGGAATGAAGAGGAGACGGCGAGAAATCGGGTCTGTAAGCACGCTGGAGCTCGCGCCTCGTTGTAAAGTCCTCGCTCACCCTGTAGCCAGCCTGCCAGACCGCACAAGACGCGGTCAGCCTTCATCGCTTCGAGGAGATGATGCGA